CTGCAAGAGGGATACCTTTACATTTTTTGCCTTTTATATAAAACAAGAAAGAAATTAGGTTTTACTTCAGTATGTCATATTGATAACGGTTGAAATTTATTGCTGGAAATATAAACGAAGAGAAGGAAATAAGAGAATTATATTAGTATATGTGTTGTTTCATACAGGATTATACACGTTAAGTTAAGTATAGTTTAATTTTATTCCGGTATTTACCGAGAGAAAAGAAGGTGGGATAAGAAAATTCCATTCAGTAGAGTCGAACTTGGAAACCAAATTACAGACCTTCTTAAAACGAATCAGAAGTTATGGCCACTATATTACAACGTTTAGAACAACGACGCGTAATAGATAGTTGACAAAAAATGCAAATGAGATTATATAAAACTCAGAATTTTGTGTTTTACCACACGGAAATGAAATGCCTATCTTAAATATAGAGACAACGCAGGCATAGAACTGATGACATATTCGTGCGTATTGTAGGCTTTAGTAGTATAAGCGCCTTAGCTATGTGCGAAAGTAATATTAGAGATTACCTATATATATAAATTTGCTAACCAAATAATTATTTAACTAAATGAAGCATTATTCTTGAGAGGCTAATTGGTTTTAACTCTTCAAAAAATTCCAGACATTATATGGAAACCGAGGTTTCGATCCGGTGTTCACAAGGACGTGCCACTGGTCCAGGTCCTGATGCAGCCTAATCTCCGCCCCAATAGAAATTTTCCTTCCTTGAATACAATAAAAGTGATTTACGTCGATTGATCCCCGTCAATGGACCACAAAAATATATATAGACATAAAAATTATGCCTCTTTGCCATTCTTCATTATCTAAAATAATACAACTGTGACTAATATAGGTCAGTGATTGAGATTATTTCTGTGTTTTAAAAAATGTAACAAAATTCAATTTGAACAAAGCAGTCTTCTGGGATTTGGCACCGTGTATATGTGGTGTTAACCGACGTTTCGGAGCAACGTATCGCCTCCATCTTCAGGGTAGAAAAAAATATAAGAAATCTGCAAGCGAAGAGACCGTGAGAACCGGTCCTCCGAAACGTCGGTTAACACCACATATACACGGTGCCAAATCCCAAAAGACTGCTTTCTTCATAGTCACCGCCGTGAAAGCCTCAAATCTTACAAAATTCAATTTATTTAAACGAACACCATGGAAAGGCGGCCCTCTTAAGAGGGTAATATTTATATTCAGTCATGAAATTCTCTGCATTATACAGGTCATTGAAAAAGAATGCTGAGATTGTAAGAAATTATAATTGAAAAAGTGTTAAAAATGAAGAAATGATTCAAGTTTTAAAATGCGGCGAAAGAAAGTAAGTTTTGGATATGCTCAGTTGATGGTGGGTAGCGAGCGACATTTGTTCTGATCCTCTAATACCGCAGTTACTCCATTTAAGGCATCGATTCGTATGAAAAGCCGCATCGTCTGTGAAATAAATCTGCCGTAGAAGATTTACGTAATAATTAATTTTGTTCAGCATTAAACAGGCAAAATCATAACGTTTGGCCCGGTCATCAGGTTTGATTTCATGATTAGGTGAATCTTGTAGGCATAAAGGCGTACACTCGTGTGAATAACGTTTTGAAATCGTAGTTTTTAGAATTCTTATCTCTAAAGATCTGCAAGCAATTGAATTTTTAGGCCTTCTTACGCAGGGCGGTCTAATGGGCTCCACATTTTCTTCCGATGTTCCAGGTCGACTCGAAATAATAAGAGGGGCGGCACGAAAGAGCTTGGTTTACGAACTCCAATAGAATCTTATCAAATTAACTATAAATATTTTAATATATTGGAACTGCCGCTGTAGTTGTAAAGACTTTAGATTTTACACCCAAGTGTGTATTATTAATATTGAATGTATGTATATATTTCAACTTTTAGAACACGTACTGTAATAGTGGCTTCTAAATGTATTGATGTAAAGGTGTCCCTCTGAAGATGGTGTCTGAAGACCAAATTGAAATAATTGAAATAAGAAAATCTTAACCAGTCACACTAGACGGAACTATTTAACCTTTTCATGAAGATTTCTGTTTCGCAACACTTCCCGTTTATTTGAACATTTTCAGCCAACAATTCAGAACCTTGTTATATTGTGCTCTTTATCCTGGATGTAACCTTCATCAGTTACCTTCACTCTTACGATTTAAATTCTGCATACCATAAAACAAACTCAGCCTTCTGTTGCACGGTCCACATCTCTCCTGACACTCATTCACACTGGGAGGTAAAATTAGCGGGGCTCGGGGAGTCCGACGGCCGGCCTTTCGTACATATTTTATCGATTGGTCAACCGACAGAAGCATTTCAACGTCGCTCGCTATGCACCATCAACTCAGCATGCCGCATTTTAAAATGTGAATCTTTTCGATATATTTAACAGTTTTGAGTGATAAGTTTTTATAATCTCCTTACCTTGATTCTATATGCCTCGCCCGATTCATTAAAATCGGGTTTAATGCTTTAATAATATTTTGTGACTAATAAAGATTGTGAAATTAGTTATTGTATCGGGCTAATTTTCTAGCCGCGTGCTACTTGCTTCCTCTTAAGTCCAAATATTTCTCGGAAATCTGTATTAAACAGGTCATATATAAAGCGACTTCAGAATGGAAGGGATTAGAATTCAAGTGAATTTGTATAAAGAAAAAATAATTAATTCAGTGCTCCCAAAACACTGTGGTTGCTTATGAAATTAAATAAAATTTCAGCTCTCATGTATACTGTAGGCGTCATTTCCTCTTGGCTTAAAATGCGAATTGTTCTTTAGTGAATTAAGGGCTGTGAAGCGTAATTTATGTTGCGTGGACGGCGCCCCGCTGGCCGCAGCTACCCGCCTTCTCTGATCGGGGTTAATTTGAGATTGACGCGATTGGGACGCATCTGCTACTGCAGCACATTATCACTGCTGTAAAATTGGCATCTGAAAATAATTATTTCCTGACACTTTCTGTGGGTCGTACGGCCTTCGATATGTGCCATTTCCTTTATTTTCTTAAGATCTGTGAAAACGGCATTTCATTATGAGCCTGTCTATTTCATTCTCGTCCGCAGTGTTGAATTATCGCCTTTGATTTGCTATGCAGCAAGTTAGCTCAAATGGTAATGGCTCTGACTTGAATTCTGGTGGGGTCTGTTTCGGATATCGACTGGGAAACCTACTGTTCTCACTGAGACTTCTCTTGGTTTAAAGTAAGCTTTGTATCAACTCACTCTCAACGAGGCAGATGGATATATATATATATATGGCCTCTTGATTGCAATCAGGGAACGCGGTAGCGTACTTGGTTGAGGCACTATGCTCCAAGCCGGAAGGTCGCAGGATCGAATCCCGTTGAGGTAGACGTTTCAATTTACCTAATTCTTCCAGCTGCATTATGGCAATGGGGTCGACTCCGGCGCTTAAGGCTGACAGCCTTACCGCCGTTTGTGAGCCGATTGTCTAGAAAATTTGGGAGCCTCAACATCTCACAACCCTATGGGCCTTCACGGCTTGTTACAGGGATACCTTTACTTAATTTTACTTGATTGTAATCTCAATTTGTACAGTTCATGCGAAGGACGAATAGAAATGTTTGAAACTGATGTAACATCATCCTTTACTCACTTACTTACTCATGGAGTTGAGCCCTTCTGGAGGAGCCGCCAATTCTGTAGCTACTCAAGAATTTCCCAGCATTTTATGGAACCCGAAGGTTCATTACTGTGTTCACAAGACACTTCCACTGGTCCCTATCCTATCTATCCAATCCATACCATCCCATCCCATCTCTCTAAGATCCATTCTAATATTGTCCACCCACCTACGCCTTGGTCTTCCCTGTGGTCTCTTTCCTTCTTGCTTTCCCACCAATATCCTATACGCATTCCTTGTCTCCCCCATTCGTGCTACATGACCTGCCCACCTCATCCTCCTTGACTTGATCATTCTAATTATACTTGGAGAAGAGTACAAGTTATGAAGCTCCTCACTATGCAGTTTTCTCCAACCTCCTGTCACTTCATCTCTCTTCGGTCCAAATATTCTCCTCAACACCCTGTTCTCAAACACCCTCAGTCTATGTTCCTTCTGTAATGTCAGAGACCAAATTTCACACCCATACAGATCCACAGGCAAAATTATAATTGTGTATATTCTAATTTTTATGTTTTTGGACAACATACGAGAAGACAAAATTTTCTGAACTGAATAGTAGCAAACATTGCCCGAGTTCAATCTCCTCTTAATTTCCTCCTGAATCAGGTTTCGATCTGTTATCGTTGTTCCCAAATATCTGAACTGTGCCACATTTTCAAAACATCTGTTTTCTATCTTTATGTCATGATTTTGCCCTGCATTTTGGTGACGAGACAGTAATCCATTTTCATTAGCTCTGGTCGTTTATCCAAGGAATCCGTCCAGGTCCGACGCTTTATGTTCATTTCCGTAACATAATGATTTTTTACGGTGAGGAGTGTTTAAGCCTCACGCCCAACCCCAAAGCTGGAGGGCTACCCCTTGTCGACTGTCCGCGACTGCTTATTCAATATATTCGCAGCTTCCCTCCAAAACTGGAGGTTGTCTCCTCCATCCGCAACCTGAGGACGCGCCATGCCGTGGTGACAGGGACCCACCTAACATGGTCTCATTAAATTCTACCAAACATAAAATCCGTAGCTGATGCATTGTCATAAATTCATCATCTGCCCAACAAACTGAAAGAAAAATATCAAACTTTTCCATTCAGTTTTTCAATAAAATAATGAGTTGTACAGGTGTTTGAATATTTCTGACTCCGACTGACCCAGTATTTCAATCATAAACAGTCACAGAGCGACACGTTAAGGAAATTGGTATTCTCTTCCGATGAAACGAAGTAACGAACATCTTCCTATCAGGAAGTTAATTCGGCATCATAAATCCCGCCAACTTAAAAACTTCCCGCTAAGAGCACTGCCTGTCATATACAGACAGTCTGTCCCCGCGGGCAGAAGGCAGGGCTACTTAGTGCCACGGACAACAAGCATAAAGAGGCTGTGTTGTGTTTTTTGTGCAGCATCAGTTCCCAAGTCAAGGTAGGAATAACTTGAAATTACTCAATTCGTTTTCCTTCATTCTGTTCCAGCAATTTGTCATAAACATGAACGTTACTTGTCAACCAAATCCAACCCTTTTATCTGTAGAAACTCTTCCAAATTTCTTCTTAATGACATTTTGGACAATGACATATTTTTATAAAGATGATTTCATATCCGACATTTTAGCCCGTGCTTCGACAAAAGAATAATACAAACCAACAAAATACAGCTGAAATTTTTTCATTACAAATACGGTACAAGTATAGGATTGCATTGAAAGCACTGGTTCTCCGCCTGAAACGAACGTGATGCCAGTTGCTTCGTACAGTCTGATGAGACACTTCAATACTAGGAGACATTTGACTATAATAGGATCTACAATACGTAGTCTCACATCACGGTCCTTCGGCTTTGAAGTGTACATTTATTACGAATATTTCTGTCTGTTCTTTCCATAAGCACGTCAAATGAATGCATAATGAGCTCTCATGTCTGTATGTTCTTTCATTTCCACATTTAATTCCAAAACCTCAGTATTTATGGAATTTGATTGTGTGAGTGTGTACATTAATAAATGTAGAGAGAGATGAATTTAAAGTTCGTACTCTGTTCCTTAAAATAAGATATTCGTGTAAAATGCAAAAGTGCACATGCAATTAAGATGTATAACTTATTTAAAATATGTCCTATATGTTGGGGGCACGCGGTAGCGCAGTTGGTTGAGGCACTATGCTACAAGCCGGTAGATTGCGGGTTTAAGTCCCGATGAGGTCATTGGATTTTTTTAATTGACCTAATCCTTCCAGCCGCACTATGGCCCTGGGGTCGACTCAGCCTCTAACAGAAATGAGTACCAGGAATTAATTAAATAATTTTCCTGGGGAGTAAAATGCGGCCGGCGCGTAAGACTGACAACCTTACCGCCATCTTTGAGCCGATTGTCTAGATAATGTGGGAGCCTCAACGTCTCACAACCCTATGGGCCTTCAGGGCCTTTACTTTTTTTTTTTTACTTTATGTCCTATATGTTATATAAGAAGTCAACATCTGATAAATATAACAATAATATTTTATTTTATCTTAAATCTATCCCGAACACCTATTAGGTTAACTAAAATCTGTGTGCTTGAGGTATCCATTAGAATCACTACGCGTAAAAATTTATCTGATTTTTTTAGTTCTCAGGACTTTTTATTCCAACCGTTTTCTAATTTTTCTTTAGAATTTACTATCATATAACTCCATTACTGAAATCAGGTATTTGCTTATGATGATAGCATCAACATTTCGAGCAAAATAGGCCTACAAATAATTTAAGTGGTGGCGCAGATGCCTAGGCATCTGTGTGTCTGTGAGTCCGTGTGTCCATGTGTCTGTATCTTCCTATTAAGATTCGAATGCCTGAACCAATATTTATTAAGCTTTATATGCATATCATGACGCCTGAGCCAATCTCAACGGCGTACTTCACAAATCCCTCACATCAGTCTATGTTTCTGTATGTGTATCTCCTATCGTTGCCAGGCAACGACTCGCTAAAAACGTCACGGCTTCAATAAATACACACGTGAAATAGAAGAATTGTTGGACGCGTGGCTTTCTATTTGATCTGTATCTTACAAAAGCAAAGTAGGCTATTAGTTCTTCCAGAACTTCTTGTATCTTGTATGGTCTCCGAGCAGTAAACAAGCCGACAGGACGGAAGGAAGCAGGAAGACTATATTTTGGTATATACTGTATGAAATAAGTATCACAAAGTTCATACTTTTAGCTTTTTAACATTTGTCGTCTGTTGTTCGTGATGCAATAAAAACACAACGTGAAGTTCTGCTGACACTGCAACCTGCAAGATTCATACCACGGATTTGGAGTTGCGTTCAATATTCCTGGGGACACAAGACTGAGAGTGACTGATCTGTCATTTCCAGAGCTGCTCGTAGATCTGCCGTCATTCAGGTTGAACTAAGGAACAATTTATTGGGATAATGATATTTTTGTATTATTTGGGACATGCATTTAAATTCCGGCCTCGACAAACAGGTAATGATGCATTAAATCTTCAATCTGATCAAGTGTCTTCTGTATGTGAGGCTGCTAATGTGTTTTGTTTCAAGGAAATTCGGGACCAAAATGATCGCCCTCCTGGCCCTGTACCAGTCACATGATTATTTCTCATTATTACATAGTATATTGTTCGTAATATAGTAATTTGGTCTGGAAAACTTTTTCTTGTAGCATTTCTAATTTATGTCAACCAGTCAAAGATTTATGAAGGTGTTTGAGAGATAAAATCTGTTGTGTGGGTGTCAAGACTAATTTAAAAGCCAGTGACATAACGACGTTATAATATAAGTCGGCCCAAGTTTCTTTCGGGCATTAGTATAAATTTCGGACCGGAAACAGACGAATCTGCTTGGCATTCAGGAGATTTGGACTTCATAGACAGGGATAAGGATTGCCATATGCCTCACATTTTGGAGACAACATCTCACATAATTAGTTGTAGGGACCCAATATGGCGGATGTTCCAATATTAATAATATTTATTCCTTACTTATAAGTGCCTCTGACAAAAATATTTTTTTTATTGCTAGTGGGGTGGGACTAAGTCCCCTGCACTGCCGCCACTTCTGGCCTATTGTACCAGCCCCAGATGATAGGTGAGGGTGATTGTGGAGCAATTGGTGGAATGAAGATTGGCAGGGGAAACCGAAGTACTCTGAGAAAACCCACCCCACCACCACTTTGTCCACCACAAATCCCACTTGACCAGACTCGGGATCGAACCCGGACCGCCTCGGTGGGAAGCCAGCGACTAACCGCTTGAGCTATGGCACGGCCTACCTGACAAAAGTAACTATGTGTGATTACGCATTGTCGTAATATAAAATCTACTTTCATCGCCAAAATTATGATGAGCTACACTAAGCGTTCCAGTACTTGATGATACAATGCTCGGTTGAATATGCTGGTAGAGCCTATTCATGGTGGATAATTATTTTCATATTGGACCTAAGAACTTTTCTTTCGACATTTCTGCTACCCCTCTCTCTGTAGTCCAAATAAGGATAAAGTCAGGCTATGGGTAACTAAGAAAAGATACAGCGCCGATTAACTGGATGATCAAGAATTATGAATTCGAAATTTTATTGAACAAGGCGGTCGTGAACTAAATTGAGTTTCAATACAGGAATTTTCTTGGAGGGACTAAGAAAACACTCTAAATGTATCACCCTGACAGTAAGCGACCTGTTAATTTATCTACCGCAGTTGGTTGACGCACTGTGATACAAACTGGAAGGTCGCCGGTTCGATTCCCAATAAGGTCATTGGATTTTTCAATTTACCTAATCCTTCCACCAGCTCTATGGCCCTGGGGTCAACTCAGCCTATAACAGAATTGACTAGCACGAATCTTCCCAGGGGTAAGGGGCATTCAGTGCGAAATACTGACAACCTCAGCCCCTGTGAGCCAGTTTTCTAGAAGATGTGGAGGAACCTCTTCATCTCGCAACTCTATGGGCCTCTATGTATCTTCATACACGTAGATCTCCCAACTATTTTTTCCACACATATTTTTTCATTAAATTGTGTGCATTTCTCTTTTACCCTATGCATGCTACATTGCCTTCCAATCTCATTTTTTTTTTGTGGTTTATTTGATGCCGACATAAGTTTCTGGATCGCACAGCGTCAAAGGTTAGGATTATTGATGAATGGCCAATGGGTAAACATTTGGAAGGAAACTGTCATGGGGTAATCGATATACTATCCTGCTATTTTCTTGTAGGAACTGGGGGAAGACCACGGAAACCCGCAGTCAGAATATCCTCTGTCCCGGTCGATATGCGAGCCGAACATCTCCCATTTACAATCCTAGAGCCTTACCATTGCACCAGCCTGCTTGATTCTGCCTCATCAACCTGAGAGAATTCGATGTCTTCTCATGCACGTGCTGTTAAATGGAGTTTATCGTAATGAATATCACGGTTACTATCTTTCACTGGTTCTGTATGTGGGGCATCACAGAATTAACTTCGACTGCTGCTCAGTACAAAAAAAAACCTCTGTGGCTATAGTCCCACAATACCCACTATACCGACCGAACGACCGCCGCTTGGTGGCGAAGTTAGTGCCAACTTTAATGGATAGAGAGTGTCGCGTGGTCAGCGCAATGAATCTCCACGAGAGTTAATTTTCGGTTTTCTAGACCGGAGCCTCTATTTCCTTGAAATAGCTCCTCAAGTATCCTCACGAGGCTTAGTGAACCCCGTTCCGGACCCACTACTTCTCAGAAAATCTGGTAGCGCCGGGAATCGCACCTGGACCTCTGGACCTGTAGCCAGGACTCTGACCACTAAACCACAGAGGAGCTGCTTGGTAAGGACTGGACAAATTGAACTTCGGGTTAACAGCAACTAGAGCCAACTCTTATGTCTCTCCAACCCATTAATCACAGCGCCTGGGTAGATCTTCGATATGAAGCGAGTCGTTTCCTCTGTGCGCGAGTGTGACTGCTAACTTTGCATAAAGACATGCTGAAGGAGGTGAGCAGGTGAGTTCTGTTACCTGACCTCACCTCATGACCTTTTCTGCACGTGTGGATAGCGATCGCTTATTATTTCTTTTCAGAAAGTCGGCTTTCATAAAAGACGCCTTCCCAACTACCCCCTGCCGGGAGGCATCTAGAATTACCCTCACTTTGGGAACGGGAGGGAAAGCTAGCCATGAGGTGTTAAATTAACAACTGCTACTCTAATTACCTGTTGGTATTATAAGTTTCGTAATGAAAAATTACTTCAACATTTCTTTCATAGCTGAAATTGAAACTGCAATTTTTAAATAGTTCAGAGGTTAAAACTTTAAAAAATTAACTAACGGGAATATTCTACGTGTCACGTTATTTTCAAAGGGAAATATTTCAGTGTCTTGATAGTGACCCACATTATTTAAAAAATATTAGAATAAAGATAAGCTGAGACAAGCCACTAAGCAAT